TCAGAATTATATGTAAATTTATAGAGATCAAGATCCTTGCTCTCCCAGCAGGTTCATTTCTTCCTTCTCAATATATGTAGGTCACCAAGAATATTTAACTTCTATGAAACATTACATATAAATTAGAGTACCTGGGACATTATTTAACATTAAGTTAGACAACTGAGTATTCTATCAAAATTTGATTTTCATTTAATTGATGTTGATTTTTTTCTGTCTGCATCCTTAGTGAGGTTATTATGTCAGGAATCTATGTGGAAACCTTCCTAAAGTGATACTTTGTGCAACTCCAATTCTCATTATATACAAAATTATGAGGAGCCTAGCAGAAGTCATTTAATTTCACATTAGAAAAATGGGTGTCTCCTGTTTCTCTGAGAAGAAACAAGTCCCCACCTCTCCCTGGTATCGTATTCTTCTTTTTTCCTTTATTATTATGTGTGCAAATTAGCAGTGTTTATTTTTCTTACTTGTTGCCATCAATGCTTTGCCCTCCTGAATGAAACTATATACCTTCAGGGGAAATTTGATGCCCCAAATTGAAAGGGAACCAAGTAATAATTCAGAGTGAGTCCGGAGAGGGTTTTATCCATCTCCATCTCACTGGTGCTGCTCCATTATTTCATTTTACTCATATCTGAATCTTATTCTGAAGAGCTGACCTCATAGAAAGTAAGTATAGAGAGAAGATGAAGGTAAGCAAAAGTCAATCATGCATGATGATTTAGTGCCCAGACTAAGAAAGAAAAAAGATCCTAATAAATAAAAAGCCAGGGGCTGTCACTACCAAAACAACTGGCCGGACGACTGAACAGCAGGCTGCATGGGGCAACCAGGCCAGCAGTGGGGTTAGTAAAGGACAACCAAATGACTGAACAGCAGGCTGCGTGGGGCAACCATGCCGGCAGGGGGGGTCAGTTAGGGGCGATCAGGCAGGCAGGCAGGTGAGCAGTTAAGGAGCCAGCAGTCCTGGATTATGAGAGGGATGTCCAACTGCCAGTTTAGGTCTGATCCCCAGCAGTTGGACATCCCCCACAGGGTCCGATTGAAGAAGGTGCAGGCTGGGCTGAGGGGAACCCCACCCCCCCATTCATGAATTTCATGCACCAGGCCTCTAGTAATAATATAAATAACAACTCTAGTGTCATTATAATAAACTTATGCTTTGATGCTTTGCCTTAAATGTCAACCAATAAGTTTTTGTAAAAAAATATATATTTTTCTTTACATTATAGCAAGCAACCAATGATTAAAATATATTTAAGATAATATGTTCAAAGTGAAATTGAGTTGATTACTCAAATAATCCTGGCTAATTAAAAGAGGGTAAACCTTCCTTGTGGCCTAAATGATTTAAGTTTGCCATATACATTTTACCACAGAATTGTCTATTTCAATTTCATGCAGAGAAATTAGGATTTCTTTGTGGAAAAAGTTTAATCTTCCATCTTACTGTAGTCATGAGAACTAAACTGCTGTTTTGTTTTTCTTTGTTTTCTTCCCCCCCCCCTCCCTCCCAACACACAGTGGTTTAATATTAGTTACCCTCTCAATGAACAAACAAATCAGAATTCACAAAAGAGTACTGTTGATCTGTGGGGAGTTCTCTGTTTCCCCACCTGTTGCAGGTGGAAGTGGGCTTCTTGTGATATCACAAGAAAAAAATAATTTTAGGAGACTCACGCGGGACAATGAGATATCCCGGAAATCTCTATTTCTGTGGAATCAAACCCCTTTTTCCAAGGTCCCATTTCCCTTTGTCCCACCAAGGAAAAGGTCCCATTTCGTTTTCAGCAGGGCTCAGATCAAAGCCAGTGTCCAGAGTTTCCACTCCATGTTGGGGCACAGTCCAGTCCAGCATCAGGCGAGCTTCGTTTGTGTTCCCAGTTGCAATCTATCAGTCCATTGCCTGTGGGATCCTCAGGGCCACATGGCTATGGCGGGAACACAGGCCAATGCAAGAGAGCCACATAAGAGCCAAGAGCACCAAGAGAGAGAATTCCTTTGTCTGGGGGATTATGTATTCCCAAATTTTCATGGCTTGCAGTGGCCCTCACCCCCTCGGGCCAATGATTTCTGTTCTGAGGTTTGGCTGGCAGCACACACCTTCTCTACATCACCCCAACGTCACTGTGCATGTGCCCATCTCCTCTTTGTCCAGTCCTTTCCCCAGTGATCTGCAGGGAATAGAG